GGAACTGATACCAAGGGCTTAAGTGGAGAGCAAATATTTTGAGAATGATGAGGGCAACAAATGTACAAATGTGCTTGACACAATTGATGTATGTATAGATTGTAATAAGAGTTGTATGAGCCCCCAATAAAATGATCTTTAAAAAAGTCCTGTTGGCTGCCAGCAAGCACATCTATGCCATACCACCCAGGTTGTTCATGGGTCTCTCTCCAATCCCGATGCCACCTTCTTTGCCATAGAGACCAGCTTCTCCCATGATTTGCTCACATGCAGATTGAAGACGTCTGGTGAAAGGACACAACCCTGACGCACACCTTTCCTGATTCTGGACTGTGGGGTATCCCATTTTCTGTTCCAGTGACCAGCTCTTGGTCTGTGTAGAGGTTCCACATGAGCACAATGAAGTGATCAGGAATCCCCAGTCCTCTCAGTGTTATCCAAAACCTGGTATAACCCACATGGTCTTTCCAGAGTTATTAAAGCACACAGAAACATCCTTCTAGGAATTCTCTGCTTTTAGCTAAAATCCATATGACATCAGCAATGGTACTGTCATGCCATATGCTGTTTTGAAACCAGTTTGAGTTTTTCTGGAAGTTTGATGTTGGAGATACTATTGCACCTGTTTTTGAATTATGTTCAACAAAATTTTATTTGCATGTGTTAGTAATGATTCATTAATTACTACATTCTGTTTGGTCACCTTGCTTTGGAAATGGACAAAAATATGAATCTTTCCAGCCAATTTTCCAGAAGCTGTTTCCCAAATTTCTTAAGATAGACCAGTGCATGCTTCCAGAATCGCATTGATTTTTTGGGAAACATTTTAATTGGTATTCCTGGGCCCTTGATTCTTTCTAATACTTTTAGTGTAGTTTGGGTTTATTCCTTTAGTGCCATAGATTCTTGATCACATGCTACTTCTTGAAATGGCCGAAAACCAGTTTATTTTTTTGTACAGTGATTTTGTGTATTTCTCCCATCTTCTTTTGATATTTTCTGCACCACTTAATATTTTGTTCGTAGAATTCTTCACCATGCAATCTAAAGCTTGAATTTATTCTTCGGCTCTTCAGCCTTAGAAGTTTTGAGCATGTCCTTCCCTTTTGTTCATTCCTGTATTTTATACATTCCATTATAAACTTTCTTTCTCAAGCTGCCTTTTGAAATTTTCTATTGAACTATATTCTTCCATTTACTTTCGCTAATCTACATGCAAAAGCAAGGTTCAGGGTCTCTTCTGACATCCACTTTCATCTTTTCTTTTCTTTCTTTCTGGATTTTAAAATGATCCTTTTCTCTTTCAATGTAGGATGTCCTCGATGACATCCCACAGCTCAGCGGGTCTTCTCTCATTTGTGTTCACAGTGTCCAATGTGTTCTTGAAATGTCTTTTAAGGCAAGTTCACTGTACTCCTGTCACGGTATTGTTTACATTTTCTTCAGCTTCAACAGGCATGGCTATGAATCAATGATGATCTGTTCCACAGTTGGTCCCTAGCTATATTTTGGTTGATCATACTGAGCATCTCCATGGTCTTTTCCCCTAGACGTTATCAGTTTGATTCCTGTGTATTCCAACTGGTAAATTCCACATGTATAGTAGCCATTGCTGTTGTTGAAAAGTAGTGTTTGCAATGAAGAAGTCAGGTGCTTCACACAATTCTATCATGTTTCTGTTGCTATCACCAAGGCCATTTCCCCCCATATACTGATCTTTCCTTGTTGTTTCCAGCTTTTGCCTTCCAGTCACCATTAAATATCAATGCATCCTGATGGCACGTTTAACTAATTTCAGACTGAAAAAAGTTGTCAGAATCCTTCAATTCCTAGCTTTAGTGGTTGGTGTATAAGTTTGAATAACAGTTGCAATAACTGATCTTCTTTGCCGACATAGATAGTCTATCACACACAGCATTATACATTAAGATAGATCTTGAAATGTTCTTTTTGACCCTGACTGTCATGCCATTCCTCTTGAGTTTGTCATTCCAGCACAGTACACCATATGATTGTCTGACTCAAAATGGCCAATGCCCGTTCATTTCAGTTCATTAGTGCCTAGGACATTGATCCTAATGTATTCCATTTAATTTTTGATGACTTCTAATTTTCTTAGGCTCGTGCTTCACACATTTCACATTCTGATTCTTATGGGTCATTTGCAGCTGTTGCTTCTCATCTTAGCCCAGCCCCTTCAGCAGGGTTGGGCCATCCATATCATTAAGTCTACTCTGCTTTGAGGAGGCGCCTCTTTCCCGTTCATATTTTGAGTGCCTTCCACCCTGAGGGGCTGACTTTCTGGCACTGTATCAATGGCCCCGTTGTTCACAAGGTTTTCAGTGGCTAATCCCTCAGAAGTTGGTCCTCTTATTCCTTCTTTCTAGACTCTTCTGAGTCTTGGAATGCTAATGGAGCCTGTTTGTAGGTTATACCTGCTGGTATTTGAAATGCCTGTGTCAGAGCTTCCAGCATCGCAGCCACACACGTCACCACAGTCCAACAAACTGACAGATGACTGGTGGCGGGCATAGGTGAAGGATGGAAAATTTAGAAAGAAATTGGAATTATATGGCATCACCAGTGATACACTGTTAATAGGATACCATTAGTGAACACGACATGGCAGTGCTTCTAAAGTCAAGGTCACTGCTGCTTATCTCTGGCATTGACTGACAGCTAGTTGGAAGATTCTTGAAAAGTACACCAAACTTCCCTGTGTTTCCAGACCTCCTCACCAGAAAATGATAAGGCCTGTTGATGATCTCTTAGGGGCTATTTGAAAAGCTTAATTAAGCTAAGATTTAAATCATCCCTTTAAAGTGTGCGGGATGATTGTGCTTACACTAGCTATCTTTTTTACATATCCCAAGGGACCTCTTCAGACGTGTACATCAATCAGTCAATAAGCAAGTGAGTCTGGGGACTTCCCTGCCTGCTCAGTCCACACATTGTGTTCTAGCGACGGCCTCACAGCGGGCAGATTGGTGTGTGGTGGTGAAGCTTTTACCTATGATGTTTCCTTTCCCCTCCCCCTCCCGTACCATTACAGGCCAGAAGCCAGGCTTACAAAGATTCTCTGAAGGAAGAAGAAAGCCGAAATTTGCAAAAAATGAAGGCTGAACAACGCCGGAAGGTATTCCCGCGCCCTGACCAGTCATTGCCAATGATTTGCTTGGGGTCTTTGTGTTCTTATGTGTTCTTATGTGATCAAAATTTAAATGAACTGGTCCACATTTTGCTCTGTGATTTTAAGTTATTGTGATTGGAAACTAGCTTGCCAGCAACAAACAGCATCAGCAAGTATGTAACAAAATACTTGACCTTCAACATTTTTCCTTTGCTTAAAAAAATTTTTTTTTAATGGATTAGATGAAAATTTACAGAGCAAAGAGGATTTCCATTCGGGAATGCATGCTCATCGTCTTGTGACATTGGTTGCAATATAACAGTGCCCTTCTCACAGCATTCCTGGGCTTGTTGCTTGCATTTATCCTTCCTTCCGAATCCCGTGCTGCTTTCTGAGCTTATCCCTAACGCTGCCCTTTGGGTCCTGGATGTTGATTGTTCTAGAAAGTGCATTCTTCCCTGGCATTATTGTTCACCTCAGAGGCCTGCATATCACTTGGCCCAAAGTTGAGACGCAAAGGTAAGAAGTTCAGTTCCTGGCTTGAAGGGTTTCTAAGAGACATGATCTCTGGGGTCCCTTGTGTCTCTGTTAAGCCAGTAAGCCTTGTTGATTTTACAGATTTCTGATCTGCAAAATAAACGTCAACCCACCCGACTGTCATGTCTAAACGAGAAGTACATAACATTGCAAATAATGCCCTAAGCAGAGAGGGCATACGCATCAGAGCAGGTGCACGATGCTGTGACGCTGGCTCATCTGGTCACCTAACATAGTGATCTATGTATTGGAGCCGTAGGTATGGTGGTCTGGGTTACACATCGAGTTTCTAACCACAAGGTCAGTGTTTCTAATCCACCAGCTGCTCCACAGGAGAAAGATAAGGGGGTCTACTGTTATGGAGATTTAAAGTCTTGGAAACTCAAAGAGGCAATTCTATTCTGTCCTAGAGGGACACTATGTGTCAGAATCACATGATGGCAGTGACTTACATGTGTATAGTGAACATGTATAATAATATGCCATATGGGTATACACATATGTGAGATGTTCCAAATATTTTGAGCAATAGATTTCAGACAAATGAATGCAGGATTCCCTATATGGCACTTCTCATTAGAATACTAAAGTTTTGGCGTCATAACTGATGGCATTGCCTGCTGTGACTTGATGGTCATACCTAGCCTTTGAAATACAGACCTGGACTTCCGAAGATGACCAGTGATGAGTTCCAAGGTTTCATTTCCTTTAAGATCCTCTATGTCAGCAAAATAAGTTCTTAAGCGAGGGGTTGTTGTTTTTAGGCGCCCAGTCTGTTCTGACGCATAGCGAGCCTCCTGCGGAGCAGAGTGAAAGCCCACCTGGGCTTGCTTCATCCCCACAGTCACTGTCGTGTTCAAGTCCATTGTTGCCACCACCGTGTCAACCCGTTTAGTCAAGGGTCTTCCTCTTTCTTTCTGTCTGCCCACTTTACTGGGCAGGATTTTCTTCTCTAGGGAATAGTATCTCTTGGTAACATGTCCAAAGTACACCAGACAAAGTCTAGGCATCTTTGCTTCTAAGGGTCCTTCTGGCTGTACTTCTTCCAAGACGGATTTCTTTGTTCTTTCATCGGTTTATGGTGCTTTCAATATTCTCAGCAGCACTGTACGCCAAATGCATCCATTCTTCTGTTTTCTTTTTCAATATCCAACTTTCACATGCAATGAGGCAATTGAGAATAAGACCATGGCTTAGGTCAGACACACCTTTGTCCTCAAAGTAACACCCATGCTTTTCAACCCTCTAAATCTGTCTTGTAGCCGCAGATTTACAGCTAGTTAGAGGCCAAGATCTTTTCACCCTCTCCCCCAATGTTTCCTCTTGCCATATTGGTGGTTGATAAATCTTGTCAATACTTCTTCCAAAAGGCCTTTCAAACCAGTTTCTTTGATTATACAATTAACTGGAATTCTAATTCGCATTCTAATATTCCCTTATTTGATTTAACTTATTAAGTTTTTATATCTTTACACCAGAAAAATGTATTCAGGGCAAATTATTAGAAAAATCACATTTTGAGATGGCTCATGTATATATACTAGTTGTTGTTGCTGCTGCAAGATTGCCCTTTTAGTGCTCCCCTCCTCCCAGGAGTGGTTAATTCTTTCCTTGATCAAAATTTCACCCAGCATACAGTGTGAATAGCTTTGTAGCCGAGCAAAGTTTATTTATTTCTTGCATTGTAGGTTGTCATTAACTCATTGAAAGAAATTATGAGGTATAAATGTCCTTTTTAAAAGATACAATGTAAAGAACAGAGAAACCATAGGGCATCCGTATTGTTTGGTGATTTTTCTAAAGTAAATATATTAATGTTTTGATAAACGTCTTATATTGAAACACATACTTAAATACCCCCTCACTTACTGGCAGCGAGTCTATACAGGCTCGCAGTGACCCCTGTGGGTTTTCTGAGATGGTAACTGTTAATTGGAGTAGAAAGCCCAGTCTTTCTCCAGTTTCGAACTGCCGACCATACAGAGCACAGCCCAACTCATAGGTTTTAGGAATTAGTGGTAGAAGATACACCTGATGTATAGTCATGATGTGCTTTCAGAAATGACTCACAAGTAGCATGAAAGAGTTGATTTATTTCTAAGAGCTTTTGGTTAATAAGTTCTAAAGAGTTGGATACTGAGGAAAACTAATGTGAAGTCTATTGATGGTATGATTTATCTGAATTCTCATATAACATCTAGTGCATCTTGAAGCATGTTTTATAAAGGTTTGCGCATATATATTTGGAATGTGAAACACGTTCTCTTTGTGAAATGTTTCATTTTTCCCTGCATTTCTCATTCCAAATATGCACACAGAGTAGTCTACTCCCTGTTTGCCTCCCTCACTTCTGTTCAATCTGCAGCCATCCACTGACACTAGTCCCCATTAGGCGTAGGGGCTGCAATGGCTTATAACTTTATAGATTTACCTTAGGAAAATGGGAAAGATTTTGTTTATGATATGGAGGGATATTAAAAAACAAAACATTTTCCTCTACTTATTTTGCAGCTCTTCATATATTTTTATTCTATGTATTCAAAATATTTTCGTTGAATTCTTACTCTGTGCTAGCCATTGCTCAAAGCACTGGCATCCTTCCAAGGTAGCCCCTCTAGGTCATGTTTTCATGATGGCTCACTTATTCTGATCTACGGTCTCGGACTTCCACAGCCTTCCACTCCTTTGGTCTCTGAGGACAGTCGTCTCTTCCTTCGCAAGGTTAACCTCTCAACATTTCATATGTGATTCAGTTCCTTCTTGCTTCTTGCAGAAATGTATTTATAATTCATTTTGTTATTCTTCAATACATTCTCCATTGGCTACTTCATTTTTTTTCTGTCAACAAATATGTTCATTCTTATCAGTCTAAAAATCAACACATGGACTCTTTCCTTGGTTCTGGTATCTTCAGAGATGTTACCTTTCCTGCCTCTATCAAATTTTTAAATAAGGGAGGGTGGAGAGAGAGAGAGAGAGAAGATACTTTACATAACCACTTCTTTATTGTGCACTCCATCATTCATGCTTTGTGGTCTGGGTTATTTACACATGTGTTCTTATTGAAACTTCTCTTTAAAGGCACTGTCCCTGATGGACATTCAGTTCTACGGTGGTTTATAACCCACATCTCCTTGTGGCTCTATAGTACTACTAGACACCACTTAACGCTTTCCTTGTTTGACCTTTATTTATTATCTTATTCTGGTGGCTCTTCCTCGAGGAGTATCCTCAACATTTATTCATCTGTTCATTCATCTGCCCATTCTATCAACAAGCATATACTGACTACCTATTATGTGCTGTACATTGCCCGAGATGCTAGAGAGCCGGTTAAGGGCAGGATAGACAGGTCCCTGCCCTTCGATGAATGAAAAGAGACAGTGAAACAGAACGTTGCATTTTTATTTGTTGTTGTTGGGTGGCATCAAGTCAGCTATGACTCCGAGTGGCCCTGTGTACGACGGAACAATACACCTTCCAGGCCCGCAGCATCCTCACAACGTTCACGTCCATCGTGGAAGGAGGTGTTCCCTTGGATTGCTTTCCCTCCATGTTACCAAGCACGATGTCCTTTTCCATAGTCTGGTCTCTGCTAATAACATGTCCAAAGTACATGCAGTGAAGTCTGGCCATCTTGCTTCTAAGGAGTATCCGGCTGTCTTCCAGGACATTTGCTTGCCTTGGGGTCGTCCATTGTACTTTGAGTGTTCTCCCTCAGCACCCTAATTCAAATGCATCCGTTCTTCTTTTGTCTTCCTCTGTTCCTGTCCAAACTTCACATGCACCTGCATATGAAAATACCCTGACTTGGGTCAGGTGCACCTTAGTCCTCAAAGCAACATCCTTGGTTTTCAACACTTTAAAGACTTTAAAACCTTTAAGCGTTAAACCTGTACAGCAGATTTACCCTGCGCAATGTGTCATTTGGTCTCCCTGACCATTGATTCCATGAGTTTTGATTGTGAGTCCAAGCAAGATAAAATCCTTGACAATTTCAATCTTTTTTCCACTTTTCACGATATCATTTTCTATTGGTCCATTTGTGAAGATTTTGGTCTTCTTTACATTGAGTTGGAATCCATACGGAAGGCTGCAATCTTGACCTTCATCAGCAAGTGCTTCAAGTCCTCCCCATTTCCAGCAAGCAATTTTGTGTCATCTGCATATTATAGGTTATTAGTAAGCCTTTCTCCAATCTTGATGCCACATTCTTCTTTAATTAGTCCAACTTCATTGATGATTTGCTCAGAATACAGATTGAATGAGTATGGTGAGAGGCCACATCCCTGACACACACCTTTCCTGATTTTAAACCATGCAGCATTTCCTTCTTGTGTTTGAAAACTGCCTCTTGATCCTGGTACAGATTCTACATGAGCCCAATTAAGTGTTCTGGAATTCCCGTTCTTTGCCTATAGCTTGTTATGATCCACACAGTCAAAGTCTTTGCAGCATTTTAATTTAGT